GAAAGAGCAAGTGCAGAGGCCCTGTCAAGGGCCCTGGGTGAGGGGCAGCAAGCCTGGCTTAGTCAAGTAACCCCGGAGAGGTGGGGACCCAAGTGCAGATCACGTGGAGCCACCAAGGCCATAGAAAGGGCTCTGGCTTTTACTGGAATAAGATGGGAAAGCATTTGAGCACAAGTGAACTGATCTGGTTTCACTGAAAAAAAAAAAATCACTTTGGCTGCTGTGTTGAGAGCAGACGGTAGGGGGCCAAGAGACTAGCTGGGAGGTTAGCACCATAGATAACCCAGCCAGAAGACAGATTGGCTTGGCCAGAGTGAGGGCCACAGCAGCAGAAGATCTGGAGAGAGTCTGTGTGCATTCTGCAGGGGGAGGGAGGCAGGCAACAGCATGGCAGCTGGAATATCGGATGTGGCTACCAGAAAGGGAAGAGTCAAGGATAACTCTTGAGTTTTTGGCCTGAGCAACTCAAAGGCTGGAACTGCCATTTACCGAGATGGAGAGTATAAAAAATGTGTAGGTGGGGGGGAGAAAGATGGAGAACTGGGTGTTCGGAACATTTAAGTTTGAGCTGTCTATTAGATCCTTCCCTGGAGGCGTTGAATATTTGAGAGGTCCAGGAGAGAGGTCTGGGCTGAGGGAGTTATTTGGGAAACATCAGCGTACTAAGAGTGGTATATGACTGTGCCTTAGTGTAGTTAGTTATTCTAATAAAAACGTTTTGCAAGCACTCATCTGCTTCACAAGGCAGCATACCCCTGTGTGTATGCTAGACTGTAACTGTCCCATGCTGAGAAGTATCCTGAACTCCCTTCCCCCCTTGAGGTTTGTGTGGTATGACATCTTACTTGCCCATTTCGAAGGGATTAAATGCCTCCCTCCCTGCCCTAACTTACCATATCCCCAAGAGGCAACCATGTGGTTGCCGGCAGAGAATAGCTCAGTTGCTCTTGCAGCCCATTTTAAGGCAGAGGAGAAAAGCCTTCATTCTGGAATAGAAACCTCTCAGAGACAGCTTGGCTGCAGGGCACCCCAAGAGGGTGAGGAGGGGCACTGAGAGGGGAGGGTGCAGCAGAAGGCTTCCAGGCTCCCCCTTCCTCTGGAGGTGTGAACATCCAGGGAGCGCCAGCTCTGGGAGAAGGACCATAAATTGTCTAAACTTCAAGTGGGGGGTGGGGAATGCAGTGCAGCAAGACACGCAGGCTTTCCTTGGCTTTACACTGCTGCAAATGGCAGATGCCTAATTAAAGCATTTGCAATTAGTTGGGCTTGTTCTGTGATTCCTTTCTGCAAACAAATATGATGGGAGAATATATTAGCTGTAGGCAATCTAGTTCTAAAAAAACTTTTTCTCCCATCATCACTCTTTTGTCCTGCTCAGAGAAGAGCTGAAGCACTGTGTACACATACTAAAGTATCTGACTTACCTCCTTGTTCAAAACAGTATTTTTCCTTCCATTTCATAAAGGAGTGGCACTACCCATTTGCTTTAAAGCATGAGTATTTATCCTGCATTTAATACAAGTTCTTAATTTGGGTGTTTTATTTTTATTCAATGAAGATAACAGTCTTCCTAATTCTTGCTATCCTTCTGATTCAACACACTTGGCAATGTTATCCGCCTACTCTAGATGCAAATGGTATTATTTTTTTAACGATGGGAAAAGCACTCACTAGACTTAGACAGTAACCTGAGGAGTATGTGTTTGTGTGTATGTGTGTGTCTCTGTGTAAATAAAGAGTTGCACTTATTGCCAGTTTGTAATAACCACTTAAAGGCATAGGTTTGTAGTTGTTGTTATTGTTTGTCGCTGTAGGTGGAGAAAAAACCAGGTCCGCTCTCAGTGGAGAAATATGAACCAGGTGGGGCTATTTCATTTATTCATTCAACGTTTACTTGAGTTCCTACACTGGTTCTTATGAATTCTTAACCTATTTAAACTTAGATGTTTTATTCAGTAAGTATATTTTGCAGGTAGCTCCTGAGATAATGATTTTGGGTGTCCGTTGAATATTTACATATGCGGATTATGTGCATTGAGAATGTGGCCCATCTCTAAAGGGTGATACCTGCAAAAGAGAACACTTTGGGAAGATTGTCGTCACACAAATAGTGTAAATAAGAAAATATGAACTAGAATGTCCCTTTATATCAGGTTGAAAAAAGACGTTACCACTAAAATGAGGTTTAAATCTGATGTTCATTCTTTCTGCTTTCTGATTGGTTTGCAAAATGCCTCATTTGAGATGTCCTAAAACCATAATTATAACAGAGTGGGAGTTACTCAAGAGTCAAACAAAAGTTACCAAATAAACAAGCACGGGTAAATCAAATTCAAGAAGTTAGTGCAATTATTTTTTAACCGATAGTTTAGGTTAATAGGTGGAGACAGTTTTGCCACTATATTTAAAGTGAGGTTAATAATTAACTTTGGTGCCTGGTGTGGTTTAATCAAAGCTTACTGTAAATCATAAAACTGCTCCATGCAGACTAAACAAGGTATTAAAAAACATACAAAATACTAGGGATCTTAACCTCTGGTAGTCATTTGGAAAAAGTGTAAAAAAAAAAAAGAAATAAGATGTTTTCATTAAGAAATGTGCACAGGCATCTTTGGGGAATAAACCTTCATAAAGGATTCATGTAATCTGAAACCAATCTCCTCCCTGCCATGAGAGTGGCAAACCATGGACTTAATGCCCAAGATGTATGTTGAAAAGAAGACCAACTACCAGGATTAGAGAAAGGCAAGGCAAAGGCATTGGACCTTACTACCCAGAAAGACGAAAGACGTAAGACGTAAGACGTAAAAACCAGTGCTGGGGGTAGGGGGCATTAAATAGCTTTTCTGAGACCGGCTGGCAGAACACTGCAACTGGATTAAACATCTTTTCAGATTCGAGGCAAAGAAAGTTGTGGGTATGAATAAGAGTGTGTGTCTGTATGTATGTGTGTCTTAGCGCGCCTGTGCTTTAAACCTTTCATGGATCACATTCAGTAGCAACTTGATTTCCACCCAGTCTAAACAGAGAGATCCACCGTGGTGGTGCCTGGCTACCACATTCCCAAAGCAGCCTCCGTTCTCCCACTGGAAGGGACAGCGAGGCTGCTACTGCAATACAGGCAGGAGGCTGCCCCTGGAAGTGCTTGCCTCGGCTGTGAAAACGGCAGTTCCTCCCCGGCTCCATGCACACCTGACTCCTTGCTCAGCTCCTTCCTGGACACCCGCCGGCAGGAAAACTGCGCGCCGCGGGGAGGAGGAGGGAGGAGGTTGGGGATGCTGCACTTGGAACAGGTTCTTGGAAGCCGGCAAGCCCCGGCTCGCGACCACAAGCATCCGTGCGCCAGCCGCTGTCCACAGTGGCCGCACCAGCTCCCCGAGTCCTGGCCCTGAACTTCCCCCATTCCTTCCTGCCTCCGCTTCTCACGCCTACCGCTTCCTCAATTGCTTAAGAGACTGGTCCAGCAAGTGCAGCCCCAGGACCCCAACCAGGCTGACCACGGGCCGGGGGTGCCACTGTTGGAGGGGCCAGCTTCTACCTCCTATCCGTCTGTTGGGCGCTCCGCCCGCCTCCCTGGGGGTTCGGTTTCCCGTGGGTTGCACACGCTGAGCCCCAGTTCTGTCGTGCCCCAACTCCTGGCCTTCAGAGAAACTTTACAGAAGCGACTAGTCGAATGACCCCCGTGCTAAAAAAAAAAAAGGCGGCGGCGCCGGGCAGAGGGGTGGCGAGGGAGCGGGAAAGACAGCGGAGTCCTGTTTCCTTTTCCAGTACCCGCAAGTCCAGGACTGCTCCATGGCTCCCCCTGTACCGTTCTGGTCGTGGGAGGAGGGAACGGACCTCAGGGTCTTGCTTTGCACCGTGAACCACAGTGGGAAGCTGAGAAAAAAGCGGAGAATCTCGAGAAAAGACACTTCCATCCCAGCAGGGTCGTGCGGGGGGCGGGGGAGGGAAGGGCACTGTGGGGCTTGCTCCCGAGCGCCCCACTGCCAGCGAGGCAGCGCTCTAGACGCAGCAAGTAGTTTGGACAACCCAGAACCGGGGACCCGGGCAGAGATCGTGTGTGGTTAGCAGGCACTGAACCATCTCTTATTTGGTCTTCCCACCCTTCCCCCTCCCGGGACATCTCCTTTCCAGAGTTGGACCTCGTAGATTTTAGAGGAGGGAGCAGCAGGCGCCAGCCCCGGCGGAGTGTCGGGTTCTGTGCTTGAGGGGGACGCAGACGCGACGGACGCTGTTTTCGCCGCCCAGGAGGGAGCTGCGGCAGGGAAAAGGGCCCAGGGTGGGGGCGCCGCGCCACACCAGGAGGAGGCCACTCATTCGAGCAAACAAAGCCCGGAACCTCTGGTGCCAGCGGTCCCGGGAGCTGGGATGTCACCAAGTGGCAGGGCGCGCGGGTGCCAAGGCCATTACAAGTTTCCCGCACTCCACTGAGCCCAGCCCAGACCGCACGCCGACAACAAAAGATTCTCTTCGCTTCCCCACCGTGTCCGCGGAACCCCTTCTCCCACCCCTGAACCCAAACCTAGTGCTGAGCGAAAACGCATTCTTCCAACCAATCTCCTCCAGCTCTGGAGAGTAGAACCCCTTCCCCTGCCTTCGCACCAGGACAGGGCGCTTCCGAGAATCTCAGCCTTTCCGGGTCTCTCTGCTGCCTGCTGGCCGGAAAGTGAGGACGAGCCCCGGGTACTGCACGCACATCCCCGGCCAGGCAGCTACCCGCGCGGTCGGGGTCCCGGGCGGCGCCCGGCTTGTGCGCGGCGCGAGTGGAGAAGCTCGGTACAGGGAGACCCGCGGTCTCTGGGGCGCAGGGCGGAGAGGAGCTGCGGGCAGAGTTCGCGACTGCTCCCCCCGGGCCGGGCAACGCTCGGGAGGCAGATACAAGACAAAATAAAACGCAAGCACCACAAAGCCGACAGCGCGTACCGACCACGGCCCCGGGACCCGCAGGAGGGAGCCGAGCCGCTCGGGAGGTGGGGCGCGCCGGGGCGCCCCAGCCGTACCTTTTCGGTGCATCGACGGGCAGGCGGCCGGGGCTCGGAGAGGGCTGGTATAGCGTGTATCCCATTTAGTAATCCATTATCGAGGGAGTCTCTCCGGGCTTCGAGCTGCGCTCTCTCCTTCGCAAGCCTTTGTCATTCCTACATGTGTGCTTGTCTCTTTGGGGGTAACAGTCGCGACGACTACTTTCTGGGATGCAGACGCGCTGTGTTCATCTCCAATGACAGGCGGAGAAGGGGAAAGGAAAAAAGAAAGAAAAAAACCAACAAGAAAGGAGTAAATGTTCAAGAAACTCTTCTCCAAATCCAAATTCCACTTGGATTCCACTCCGGCGAGTCCCTTCGGTGGTGTCTCCGCCGATTAACAGGTCATTTCAGGGTGGGGGGTAGGGTGGGGGCTGGGGCAGGGGTGCAAGCTATAGCCCCGCTTCGCGACCGCGAGCGCTCTGCCGCGGGTGTGGCGACGCTGGTCGCTGCCGCCTCTCCTAAGCGGGCATTGCGGGCTGTGGGCCCCACGGAGAAGCGCCGCTGCTGCGTCCCGAGCGCCTCGGCAGCCGAGTGCGCGAGGAGCGGAGTTGGCTGCAGCCTCACCCCTTGCCGCTCACTACTCCTCTGTCACCCGAGAGGCCGCCGCTCCAGGGCGGAGCCAAGTCCCGGACTGGATTGCGCAGAGCGGACTCTCCTCCCGCAACCCCGCCTCCACTGGCTGGCGTCTTCTCGACCCAGAGGAGAGCTGTGCTGTATGTGCGTGAACGCGAATGAGAGAGGCGGAGAGAGGAAGAACCTACGCGGTGTGGCCGCAGGTGGAGCCTTGGACCGACTGGCCAGCGCAGCTTCCTTCCACCACTATTCACGGACTCGCCGCTCGCTCGGCGGAGGTCCCCGTGGGGGCGACGGCGTCAGGAGCCCAAGCCCTTCACTTCCCCACCCCCGCATCTGCTCTAGCAAGAAAAAAACAAAATCACGGACAGCATCACCGAGCCCTGCCAAATCAGAAAAATAAATAAAAATAGACGTAGTGCAGGAGCGAGTTACAAGAAAGGATTTGTTCATCGATTTTCTTAAATGGAAAAGTTTTAAAAGACGAGGGTAAGTGAACGGCGATCCTTTCCAATTCTGATTACAGTATCGAGGTAGACTCCAGAAGTGATGGACGCCCTGCACATCCGGATGAATTGGACAGAAGCCGGTGCCCTTAAAAATACACTTTGAAGACATGAACACAGCTGTTAGTTAACATACATACAACACAACACGTTAATAAAGCGTGTTAAGTAAGCAAAGTGCAGTGCAAAGAATGCAGTTAACAACAACGATCTGTTTTTAAATTTAGAAAGTGTGCAGACTATTCTGAGAAATAATTATGTGAACTTCAGAAATACGACACATTTCCAATGAGAATCCAACAGTTTCATGCGATAAGTAAAACAAGTTCTTCCAAGGCGCTTTTGTTACCATCACAAGAATGGCAGGTACAGCCTTCCTCCACCGCCTAAAAGTTCAGTCGCCAAAGAACCTTGCAGTTACCGGCTAGAGCCAACCGGCCAGGCCACACGATGTCCCCCCTCCCCCGACTGCTGCGCGGTCCCCGCCTGCTCGCCCCGCTCGCAAACTGCACAGGGTGGCATGTTGCTTTCCAAGTGGATTTCTCACAAGGTTCGGGCCGTAGCCGTAGCCAAAGCTCTTAAAGAAACTAACACAGGGCGGCCAAGCAGTTCTCCAGGCAATATTTGCTAGTCATGGGGTCGGCCGAGAAAAGCACTGGGAGGAGACCAGGGTCTCAGTCGCCTTTAGGCCAAGTGCCCTCAAATAAATGCGTTAGAAACTGTACCTGTTCACTAATTGCGGCTAGGGCCACTAATAAGTCCCCAGTTTTGCCGTTCCTACAGAGGACGAAAGTTATATACAGACATCTGTTCATGAGGGCTCACGAAGAATAAATGCTTACGCGACGACACTGTGTATTTTTTCTATAAACCATTTAGAGAGGGTCGGGAGAATGGTCGGGAAAAGTCAGTCAGTCTCCCTGCTGTTCGCCGGAGCTGCCAGCAGGGGCCGCTATCCCCACCTTTCCCAGGCAAAAAGCCGCTACAGACCCTTGGTGGCGGCGGTGGGCGGGGGCGCTGTGTGCGGCCGTAGGTGCGCGCGCAGCCCCCGCGGCACGCGGAGTCGGCTCTGGAAGGGGTTGGGGCGGGGGGCTTAGCTGCGCGCTCCCGGTAGCGGGTGGGCTGGCTCCCGGACGTCCCTTTCGAATCCGGTCGGGACCTGGGGAAGGGCGGTGGCGGCTCGATCCTTGGCTGCGCTATTTAATGCCCAGATTTCGGCGCTAAATTCCGAGCTCGTCCGTGCGCCCCCGGCGCCGTCTGGCAGCCAGAAGGTCGGGCCCAAGGGGTCCTCGGGGTTCTCCATCGGTCACCTCCATCGCGGCCGGGTCGCTGAGGTCCCTCATTCGCTCTCTGCCGCTGATTTACATGCTAATTGTGTCAGGGAAAAGTTCTTTAATTGGCAGAATTAGGCAGAGCAAACGGATTGTTTCACAGACTGAACCAAATTAATTCCGAGTTTAGCTTCTTCCCTTGGAGAAACAATTAAACTGTCTTGTTTGCTTTATGGATATATTGGAAATGCCCCATATTGAGTTTCAGGATATGTTTTTAAAGAGAAATTATTTTCATTATTAATACTTACATGTTTAATTTGCAGTAATGCTGAGCCAAGAAGCTAAAGATTAAATTTACCAAATTTAAAATGATAGAATACAAGAGGAAAATAATTTGAGTTAACTTTTGCAAAGCTAAGAAATATCACCCAGGATCTTCCTGGCAATTAGTAGATCCTGAAACCTCGCAGTCCAATTAGGCGCCCATAGTCATGACCAGGTGAGATTACGTTTCCACCTGCCAAGGGAGAGATGCTCCCGGAGCTGGCAGAAAAACCAGCTATTGTGTTGCTCCTGAAGCCCTCGGGGGAGCACCTGTGGGGAGGCCGCCCTGTGAAACCTCATGATGTCATTTCCCCTTCTGTGAGCCTCAGACTCACTCCCAGAAGCCTGCCTTAACTTTTCAGTAAAAACGCTGCCGCTCCAAAGCCTTTGAAGTCTGCAGTCTACCCTGTCCCTTCAGGGAAAGAGAGCCATGGGAGTTAAAGAATCATGGAGTGTTGGAACTAGAAGGAAGTTTGGACTGTTTTATGGTTAAGTGGCATGAGGAAGGCCTTGGTGTTTGGAGGCCGGCTGTTGTTAGGTAACTTAGTAGCTGGTGACCTTGGGGCAGTCACTTATCTCTCTGGAGCAGTGGGCTCATTTGTAAATGGGGATTCAGGTCCTCCTCACTTTCCAGGGATTGTGTAGATTAAATGAGATGGTGAGTGTAAACCAGGAGAATAGTGGTAAAGGTTAACTAGCACCTGTAAGGATGGCCTGGCACCATTGTCATCGTGGTCACTCTCCACATCAGTTCTACCACCACATTGTATCGGAGTCAGATGAAGGCAGAGGAAAGACGTGGCTCGCCTTGTGTCAGTGCTGGGAGCTACCCCTAACAATTCCTCTTCAATAAATGTTTGGATGACAGCACCTGCTTTCCCCCACGTTGCCTGGAAAAAGTGTGATGGAGGAAGAGGAAATAGGAAGTAAACTCACCCGGGATCCTTTTAAAGAGCATATCTAGCTATTTGATCAGAATCTCTGCTTTGCCGCCAAAGGGAGTAGTGAGACGTGTCTGCTGGTGCTTACTGTTCAGCTCCTTGTGGGTGTGTGTTCCTGGGGGGCACCTGGGGAATGCAATTTCTACAGTCCAGCTATTATTGATCATAATCAGGAAATCTCTCTGTATCTACAGTCCTTTCTCCAAGGTTTCGTTCACCTGCTTGCTTTAAATCAGCAGTTTTACAATCCATTTGTACATTAGGCTTACGGGGGAGCTTTTGAATAAAACAAACCTCCAGGCTCCGAAGATTCTGGTTTATTGAACTGGAGTCGGGGGACGTGGGCAGGGCTTTTTTAAAGCTCCCTGGATGTTTCTAGTGTGTTGCCAGGGAGGAGAGCCACCATCACCATGAATCCTGGCTGTGTTCTGGAACACTCCTTTTTCCCAGGCTTTTCTGGTGAGGCTGTTTATTTTCCCTCTTGCCCATTCATCCCTGTGTTGGGAAGTGTGGTCACTGTCCAGTTTGCTTCTGAGACCATTTCTCCTGCTCTCAAAAACTCCTAGACCTTTGACAGCTGTGCTTTACAAACACACTGGTGCTATCCTCCACCGACCTCATTTTATCTCACTTTTCAAAGACTTTGCACTATGCACCATGCTCATGGTCCTCCAATCTGTCCCACCACCTGTCACCATTCATGGAAGTGTTGGGGTCCACCTAACCACTAACCCTCAGCTTTCTGTTTCTTGCCTTCCTCATTTACGCTGTCCTTTCTTCTTACTCACCTTTGCCCCCGGCTTCAGGGCTTCATGCTGGATGTTATTATCAGAAAGGGCTGCATCTTCTAAATCACTAATTCTGACATCCCATTCTCCAAGCACCACTTCTTCTCATTCCAGCTTACTTAGCCATGCACCCCTCCATGCTCACTCTGATTTCAAGCCATGGGTCCTGCCACTCTCTGCATCCATCCACTCCCTGCCTCTTTCATCCCCCTCTCTGTCCAGCAGAGCGTTAAAATAGCATTGTCTCCCTGGCAAACACTTTCAACTCCCCAGCTCCTCTTTCTTTTGGTCACACCTATGTGAGTGAAAACCAGTCCTGAACTGTAGAAATACCAGCCTTCTCTGCTTTTGCATTGGGCAGCTGAAGCCTGCGAGAGCAAAATTTCAAGCACACATGTAGGCAGGCTGTACCCTCCGTCATCAGTCTCGTTTGGACCCTCATTACGCCTCGTTGTCGTCTTCCCTTTCTCTCAGTTAGTCTCTCACTTTCTCCTCTAACCAGTATTTCGCCCTCAGTGCCTCCTACTTCCCTGAAAAAACAGAGTCCACCAGTTGGGAACTTTTTGCTTCTGTACTCCTCATTTCCTCCGTGTCTCCTTTTATGGTGGAGGCACTGTCCCTCCCCAGTCTGAGGCCAATTCCTCCACCTGTTTTCAGATCGTTAACACATTCTCAGAAATTCCTACTGCCTCCACCTCTTCGGCATCTCCCTATTGGCATGTAAACAAGCTTTAGTCTCTCTCATCCCAGAAACAAGCCTTCCCTGGGTCTTCTCTTTTTTTCAAGCTACCCCATCTCCTCTCTCTTCCAAAGACAAAGGGTTGTTGACAGTCACCGTTGCCACTTCCTCCTCTCCCATTGACCCATTCCTGTCTGGTTCTCAGCCCTTCACTGACAAGGCTTGTACTCAAGTCTTCAGTGACGTCCACAGCAGTAAATCCAGTGGACATTGTTAAGTTTTATTTGAAATTTCAACAATGATGGACACTACCACTCCTTCCTCTCTGAAATACCCTTTGCTCTGTGAAATACCCTCCTGGTTCTCCTCCTGCCTCTCTCTCTCTTTTTTTTTTAATTTTGCTTTTCTTTTGAGGCAATTGAAAGAATAGTAAAACATTCCGATTTTCATCACCCAGAATTAACAACCGTTAATCTTTTGTCTTATGTGTTTTCTGTGGTTATTTTAACAAGTGAAACATGGTATCTAAAGCTTAGCTTCCTTTTAATCAACACTGTCTCTCCCATTCCCCCCACTTATGTATGGTGACACCGTCATGAGTT